TCTTTTTTTTTTGAGAATCGAAGTGCGAGTGTAGATGGGTTAAGTGTGTTTGTATGGCAAATATTTTAGTTGATATTTTGCAGATTTCAATTGTTTTTGCTTAACAAATAACAAATCATCAGTTTTATTGCGTTGGACGGTTGAACGTTGCGATTTAGGATATTGGCATACACTTTTCGTAGGAATTACTTAATACATACATAAGTATTAGAGAATGCATGAATGTAGGTATATATGTATGTATGTAAATGAGAAAATTCTGTTGCCGCGCCGCGTAGTATTTTTCTCTTGTTGTCTGTTGTTAAAAAAATATGTGCAATGCAGACTACATTTTTCTGCAAAAAGTAAATGATTTTTTTTTGTTTTAATATTTTTTACGCATTCGAATTGAAAAATTTTTTCAGCGCAATTGTTCGCATGAAGTACTTGAACAGTTACTCACATAAGTATTTTACGATATTTAAAATGTTTTCCATTTTTTGCAATGTTTGAAATTTTGATTTAAACGTTTTTATTTTGTAGAATGAGCTATACATACATATGTATGTATGTAAGTATATAGTAAGTCGCGCGTTAAGTTATATAAAATATTTCTTGCGTATACCGGCACTATTTCTGGTTTATTTATTTGTTTGTTGATTTGATTGTTTTTTATGCTTTTGAAATAATGTTTTATTGCGAATTTGTTACAAATTTGTTTAACGGAAAAGTAATTACTTGATTTCGTATATTTGTATTATTTTCACTGAAATTCACCGAAGATCCACACCTGAAATAACAAAATACACATTTGAGTTGTTCACAACATCCGAATAGGTCGCAAAGGTGGAGGCCGCCAAGGTAGGAGATTAAACGCAATTAAAAATTAAGTTTAAATGTAGTAATAATCACATTTTTACATGGGAAAAATAAATTTTTTCGTAGAAATGGTATAGAATTCTTGAAAGTCAATATTTTTCGATCGGTAAACTCTGGTCCTCTTCAGGAAACTTTCAATAACAATACGCAATTGTTTTTTTAGCCATTTTTCTGGGCTTTTGTGGTTTTTGGTGGACCTATAAATTATAGTTTCCATGAAAAAATTGTTAAATCAACAATTGGGTATTATTATTATTTACCATTTCTACGAAGAGCTGTTTTTCCCATATAAAATACATAGTATAAAACTTTGGGCGCTTTGAGTGACCTCCAATATTTTTTGATTTCAAAATAAAAAAATAAGGGTATACATTTTTTCGGCATAGAAGAATCCTAGGCGGTGAGAGCATAAAAATTCCGACTTTACTTTTTCACATGAATTTTTGGACCACCCTAATATGCATACACCTGATTTGTGGTGGATATATGTACCTGGACTAAAGCTACAGTGAGAAGGCCCAATCAGAACGTTGCACAATAAGACCGTGTGGCCGATGTTCAAAAGGCTGCTACCGCGGTAGTTGACTCTTTCGTCAGACCGTATTTTCCATAGAAGTTGGTGCATGTATCTTATCAATTCATCCCCCTCAGCTTCAGTAGCTTTGTTATTTTTCAGCCGCAAAATTTATGTTCGTATTTCGTCATAATCGCGCGATGGGGCAACGATTCCATTGTCATAGACTGGGGGTTGGGGACCATCTTCACCACTGGTCACAAGATCGCCCATGCTGTTCATATACATAGATGTTCGCCCTGGTCTTGAAACCTTCCCGCAAGTTTCCTAAGTTTCTGATACAATTTTTGGGCGTTTTTTTTCGTTATGGTTCCCTGAAATCCGACTACTTCTTTGGTGGAAGTGGCGATATGTAATGCCGGCAAGTATGGTTCCACGACTTGCATATGTCGGTTTGTTAAAGAGTACTCGGTCGTCTGTTGTGATTACACATTTACGATGTTGAGCTTTCCTTTCCTTGCTGGACGCACGCTTTTGCCTCACAACGATACCTTCCTTGCCTATTCTGTGCGCTCCAAACGCTCATAGAAGAGACCCTAGGTCACCTAAGCCTTCTCCGTCGGGACCTGGGCGTAAATGAACAAAGTGTTGAAGACTCACGCTTTGAATCGGATTGTAGCAAGCTACTCATTCAGAGTAATAAACGGCAATAGTCTGCAACTGAGTCTTTTTACCACCACTAATCCGACGCCGTATTTGTGCTCCTTTACATTTCAGCTATAATAAACGTCACAAGATCGCACGTATTTCTTGTCTTACTGCGTCCAACAATTTCCTGGATGGCGGTAGTAACTGTTACTATTTTTTTTTTTAGTCCAGGTTTCGGATTTAATAGAAAAAGAGGGGTGGAGGAGCAACCATAATGCATACCCTGCAGGACAATATAATATGTTACTGCTTTAGTTATCTTATAACTTCTATAACGTAGTATTTCTGCATCAAAAAAAAAAACAAATTTTTTACAAAATTTCGCTTAAGTCTTTTTGGCGGTGAGAGCCCGATATGTATGTAAGTATTTACAAAAATTTAAATATGTTTTTTATCTCAACAATTTCTTTGTATTTACACGCCATTTAAATACTTCATATTTTTTGTTTTGATTTGTTGTTGTACGTTAATAATTGTATTACACGCGGATAGCGAGTGCCAATAGGCATTCCAGCAATAAGCGTATACATTTTCATATCTACATATGTACATACATACATACACAGCCGGTCACTTGATTGGTATCGGCGGTTTTCCTTTTGTTTATTTAATATTCATATTTTTTTTTTTTTTAAATATCACATATTCTTTAACGAAAACAATGTAAATCCGATTTTCAATCTTTAAACAAATTAAAAAAAAAAATCAAAAAAGGCCGCCCCTATTTAAGTGACCGGCAGTATATAAGTTAATAAGATTTTTGGTATGCAGATTTGTAGCCCATTCAATTTTAGTACAATGAAATGTACGTTTCAAGTAGCTGCAAAATATCGGTGATTTTTTTAATTTTTTTTACGGTGTCACGCCTTTTCTTTCATAGAGAGTATGCTCGACAAAAGAAAAATTAAAAAAAATCAATGGTGTTTTACAACCACTTAAACTTGCACTAGAATTGAATGGCCGGCTATAAAACTTTTTGCTCAAAAAAATCTGAAATTTTGGTGAAAATTTGCGAAATTTGTACAAAGTTTGAAAATCGGATTTGCATGGTTTTTTTTGGTGGGCCTGATAAAGTTAGAAAGACCAAATTCCACGGTGTTGCAGTATACATATTAGTCCTTAAAATATATATGTATATTTTTTTTTCAAAAATAACTATTAAAAACATTGAAGGATAATGTCATTGTTCACCAAATTTTTTTTCAGTTCCACAGAATTTTTTCTTTCATTTGATTCCCGCATTGTGATCCTACATTACACTAAGTTTATTTTTTTTGCATTAATCATATCTATCCTTGAAAGTCTTTAAAAAATCCTTACATCAGATTAAAAAGGACTACAAAATCAGTTTTACCATATTTTGCTCGCAGTTTCGCGAGTACCTACATACATACATTTTTTTTTTTTTTTTTGTGTGGAAAATTGACTCTCGCACGGTGTCTGGCTGGACCCATTAGGTACAAATGTGATGTTAAGGATGCTTTGCTGTCCTTGTAACTATCCTTTTATTGGAGGCTGGCTAATAAAATTTTAGGAAAAATTCAAAAGATTTCAAATAGCTATCTCATTTACAATACGTTTACTTTATAAGTAAAGTAGAAAAAGGTCTGGGCTGACCCGTCCGCCTAACGGATGGTTAAGAGTATATGCTATATTTTCACAAAAAATTTTTAGATATCAAATAAACAAACGGAAAACTGCCAATACTAAGGATCAAACCCTAATCAAGTGACTTTCAGTGTAGACATAAACAATAAAATTCACTTTGTAGTAAGTATGCGATATATAGAACATGCATACATATATATGTACATATTTATAGTACATTTTACATACATTAGGATGCTCGTGAAATATGCGAAATAGCGACAACAACAAAGCGTTTGAGCAGAGAATTAAGATATTGGAAGAGATGCGCGAAGAAAGCGCGGGAATAAAGCTGCTCAAAATGTATGTATTGTATGCTCAAAATGTATGTATGTCATACCTGCACATACATATATAATTTTTGGCCCCATTTGGATTCGGTTAAGGCGTGGCGCACAAAGTGGTCAAAGTTCAAATTACCCTATGAAGACGTCTTAACCGACTCCAATCGGGGCAAAAATTTCTATGTGATACCTTCGACTTTAGTAGTATCGATTTTGGGTATTAAATGAAAAAATTTTTTGAGTCTCCATAGAGGCATCTGGCCTTTGATCCCTTTGCGACACGCCTTAACCGTCTCCAATCGGGGCAAAAATTTCTATGTGATATCTGTGACCCTGGTATTATCAATTGAGGGGGTGAGATTAAAAAAAAAACGGTAATTTGATTTTTTAAGGACCCCCCTAAAGTGTATATATACATTGAGTTTGTACATATATATGCAAAAATGTGCGTACGAAAAAGTTCAATAAAAAGGAAGACCACCAACGCATTTTACAACAACAGCAGCTACTGACGTTCGAAGAGATACATTTGTAGAGATGTACATCTGATCATTGATCAATGGTAACGATAGCATTCACTTTATAAATGTGTAGGTACACAACTCAAATTGATGAAATTATTATTTCTTTATAGTTTTTTGCATTTCTTATGAAAATATAGTATCACTAATATTTATTTAAACACATTTTAGGACCTTATATCCTTTCCATAAACATACTCGTTTTGCACACACTTATTGAACCAAATAAAATCGTAAACTAAGGTGCGATTCTTTTAAAACACATCATGGCGCACATTATACATACTACAAATTTAACCATAATAAGTTTAGTAAATCTCGACGCACTTGCTCCACACACACTACACACGCCTGCTGAGCATTTTCTATATTTTTGTACTAAGTACATACACACACAAATGTGCACTTTTATTTCTATTATACGATTGTTATGTACATATATGCGTTTGTTTGTTTGTTTGTTTGTTTTTTTCTTATATTACTGCCGTATTTGTTGTAAGCGAAACCAATTGAGGGCGCCACCACAACAACCCGTAGCATTGAAGTGCATTGCGCGAACTTCCAGAAATAACTGAGTGTGGTGGCTGGCCGGT